ACTCTAACACATAAGGGTGACAGACATTCGAAGAAAATGCCAGAAAATAAGACAGAGTATTACCTGGAGAAATAGCTGCACTAATTTGTTTGGAGGCAGAGTATATGTGCTTCATAAAGGGCATGCGCTTTATGAACCATTCCCCAAGCCAGAAAACGGTGGAACCCAACCATGATGACGCAAATATGCCAACAAAAAATATGAAAAGCAAGGATGTAATGAACCCAAGTCCTGCAAACAAACCATTTCAGTTCAAAATAAGCAAGGATGTAGGCACAAAAAGAGATAAGGATCACATGCAGACTTTAGAGGAATTATGGAAAACAAAAGCAGGAAAATTTCACCCCAAGTGCACCAGAACAGGGAATGAACATAACCAGGACAATAAGATTAGCATCCCAATTAGATAACCAGCAAATTGAAAATTATAGACCAAAAATAGCTTGCTATGGATCAAAATATCAGAATAGGATAACATTTAGTACTTTGGAGTCTCACCAAATATGTCAATGCCAAGCCTGGCAAATATTGGACTGAAGAAACCATCAACAAACTGAATAAACCACCATGTCACTAAAAATGTAACAGCAACTGGAAAGAGTACCACACTGCAATTTTACCATACAAACATTGTTAAATAAAGAAACATAAGGAGCTAAAGAGATCAGCAAATAATCAATAAATGGTATGATGAACTTATCCTCCTATGCTTATTAGTTATTACCATCCTGTCATGAACTTCTTAGAAACCCAGCTCTGTAGAACAGCATAGCAGGCCTGCCAAATGCAATGGCTAAAGATATGATATCCAAAATTGCAAACAAGTTAGTTCTATCAACAACCATACTAGATGAGTAACAGTTCTGTCCAAAATACCAAATCAAATCAACTCAAGCATGTCCAATATGTAAACCTTTCTCGAGAATTTTTGAGGCATTAATTTCTCTAATCATTCTTATGTTCACATTGTACTGTAGGCCACAGAGATTTATATATTCACACGAGACTGAGAACGCCAGAACCTTTCTACGTTATCCCCTCAAGATGATTAGACACGTAAATAGATTAAAGTCCAGCTCTGCTACCAGATAGGTTTCAACTCCAACTTCACAACCACCTCCTTTTACATCCACCCACGACCTCTAACGGCCTTCCCTTCAAAGAAAAGATTCTAATTCTCTAATTCAATGCCATCCCATCAACCTGATCCATTGCTTTCAGAAGATCCTATTCAATAACATTGGTTCACAACTAGCAACCTTATAAAGATTCATTCTTTCCTTAAACCCTCGAAATTAAATATTGGTTCATCTCTAAATCTACCACAACTACACATTTTCCCACAAGGGCATCACACAAATCTAAATTTCCATACTTTTTGATGTTCATATATCATTTCTCACAAAATTGGCAGCTTAAAAGGGGTCGATTCGTTTGACACAATTGATGCATCATATTCAGACAAAATCAGTTAAACGCCAAACCACCAACTCAATCTGAGTGTTATTGTTTTCCTCTTTTTAGTGGAAATAAAGACAAAAAGCAAAGAGGCAAAGGGGGGAATCTTAGAAATACCTTGCGCGTAGAGGAATTGGGTGAGTGAGGAGGGGATTTGGGGACGTCGTCCGGGTCATGGGGAGCGAGTCCTTCGCTGAGTGAACTCGACGTGGCTTCCTTCTCTTCTCCCATTTCTTCTTCGATTGGAGACTGCAAATCCAATTGCGGTTGTGGTTTTATACTGATTTATTATTATCGTTAAATGTTAACAGTCTTCCGCCAGTCCCCTGCGGGCTGGTTGTTCCATTGTTTGGTTTCCAGGACAACTTTATTCCGGTCTAGTTTGTTTTGCTTTTGGGAGAAATTTCCAAATCAGTCCCTAAACTTAGGTGGACGTGTATTCTACCAACTCCTTTCTTTCTAATTTAATTATCTTAATTTAACTTTTGCATGAAATTTGATTAGATAATTTTATATGAGATTAATATTTATCAGTTAAATTTGTAAAAAAATTAGAAAAAATATTTTAAAATTACATTATTTTAATAAAATATTATAAGAGAAGACTAAAATATCCTCATTTTTACTTTAAAAATAATTAAGATATTTTAAGTTTTTTTAATAGGATTTTAGTAAAATAACGTAATTTTAAGATATTTTGTTACTTAATTTTTTATAATACAGACTAATACTTACTTTTTTGATTTTATATACTAATATATGAGAAAAGTATATAATAGTTTTAACTTTAAAAGAAATTGAAATCCCAACCTTAAATCACAGGTTTTATTTAATTAAAAATTAAATTAAAATTTTAAAATCTAACTTATTAAATATTGATATTTAAATTTAAAAACTAATAATATTAAAATATATAATCAATTTTCAAATTTAAATATCTATATTAATTAGGTAGATTTATAAATTTTGAATTGAGATTTTGATTTTCAAATATAAATTAAGACTCTAATTTTTTGTATAAGTTATGAGTCATTCATTAT